GCCAGCCGCCGGCTCCCGGCGCGGGCAGCTCTCCGAAGGTCGCGCCTGCTGCCAGCAGACGTGTCCGGGGTGGGCAGGACATCTCCCTGGCTCCTGTACCAGGCTGGGAAAATAGACTGCAGGGAGCAAGCTAACACCTGCTGTCACCGAGGTGTCCCCGGGAGGGCACCGGCCCCGTCCCTCCAGACCTGTGGGGTGGAAGCGATCCATATTCCATAATATGCTGGGTTGCTATTCTGGAGATCCACGCTGTCCTCACCCCCTGCCTCTTCCCAGCAGCCTTGCATGGATCACGTAGCTTTTTACCGCTCCTCATTATTGTCCTCATTAATAATTAAGCTGAAAGTCCCTCGCTGTTGGCTGCCGCAGGAAGCGGGGGCCGGGCGCGCTCTCCCTGCGCTCAGCCTCCCGCGGGGAACAGCCTGTCCCTGCGTGCGCGCTCGCTTAATTGCTTGTGACACTGTTAAATATGGATCTTGGTGGCTTTCCAAGGGCACCCCGGCAGAAGTGCTGTACAAAGGAACCATTACCAGGATAATCGGAGAAGACAGCCCTAGCAGAGCAGAGAAGGCGAGAGAGGATGCCATGCCCAAAGGACATGTCATCTACGAAGGGAAGAAAGGCCACGTGCTCTCCTACGAGGGTAAGTCGTAATCCTCGGCCTTTTTGGGGCAGATGCCGGGGGCTCGTGCCGCCGTTCTGGGAGTCGGGAGCTATTTGGGGAAAGGCTGACAAAGTGCAACGGGCCAGCCTCGCATCTTTACTTCCAGCATCATTTCTCTCCTTTCCCACCCCGCCTGCCCGCAGCCCAGCTGGGTTTTTCCCTCTGTCCCGTGTGGTTATCTTGCCTTGGAGGGAGCTTTGCCAGCGGCGTGATGGGGCTGTAGCCAGGGTCTCTGGTTTTGAGGAGCGGAGGGGAAGAGAAGACCAGGTGGGAAGGTATTGCCTTCATCCCTAGCACCCCTGTGCAGGAGGGGACTGTCCGAAGATGCTATGAGAGCGTCGCTGAGCTCTCGGGCCAAGGTAAGACTCAAGGACCTGCAAGATGGAGGCAAGTCTCAAGTAGTTTGGCCTAAAGGTTTATTTGGATATCACATTCTTACTGGCAACATCTTGGGCACCGTGAAGCTTTCCCAGCATGGAGCTGCCCTGCAGGAACCCTCCTGGGCCCTGCACCACTGTGCCTCAGTATCTTGTGAGCTTTGCTGGAGCATCTGCAGCTGTTGGAGGGGCTGAGGCCATTCCCATGTCCCGCAAGGAGCCTGTCTGGGGGGTCCGTTGTCCTGTTGCCGGCTGCTATAACCTGGAAGCACTGAGGACCCCGAGGGACCTGCCCGGAGCCCCCTCTGGGGTGAGAAGCTGCCCCAGGCACAGACAGTGTCACTTGTTGTCACTCGTTAACGGGGCTGACCCTGCCCGGCCAGGGAGCAGAGTGTGGCAGAGCAAACCCCGGCCGTGTGCCGGGCTGGGCATCTCTAATGTGGAGCCGGGCTCCTCCTCGCCCGCAGCTGAGTTACCAACACCACAGCCTCGCAGCCCTGCGTCCTCGTGGGGTGGAACACCGGCGTCTGCTCTGGCGTGCACAGGGGTGGCCGTCCTCCTGTGTCACCTCTTGGTTGAATTTGGAGATGACTGGGGAGCAGATCCTAGCTGAGCCACTCTCGCCCGCCTCAGCAGCTGTCTGTGGTCGGCTGCTGTGCTGCCTGAGCCCCCTGCATCCCTCCCTGGGGCAAAACAGCCATTTTAACCTGCCCTGCGGTCACTCCTACGGGCAGAGGGTGTCCGGCAGAAGTCCCTTTCCTCTTTCCCACAAGAGCAGGCAGCTGGTTTCATCGCGGGCTGGTTATTTCACCTGAGGCCGGAGGCAGAGGGTTCAGGTCAGGCCACGGGGGACAACTCGCCAGCTTTGGCTGATGCCACCTCTGTGCGTGCCCTGGGCTTGCGGGGACCTTTCAGGACAGGGCTCAGCGCCGTGCCCCTCGCCCGCCGCGTGGAAGCCGGCTCGTCCCATGCCTGCCCACGTTTGCTGTCAACTCTAGCCCAGATAAGAAGTGTCACCGTGGGAGACTTGTGCCTGGGTGCCCTTTGGGACAGTTGGCAGGGCGCAGAGCAGGGAGGACGCAGGAAGGACTTGTTTGTGCAAGAAGCTATTTTAATCTTCTCTGCCCGGGCTTGGAGTTGCATGAGGTTGATCTCCGAGATGGTGCCACCAGGGGAGAGATGGGGAAGGCTCCAGACCAGCACAGTCCCCGTAACCTAAAGGATCAGCATCACATGCGGGGCTCAATTACCCAAGGTAAAGCCTGCAAGCAGAAGATGGCCACGGCCAGAGGTGACCTGAGGAAGTATCTCACATGCGTAGCCCCTTGTTCCTGTCCGGCTAGGGCAGGAGGAGGCAAGGATGAACACGTCAAGGTGCAGCTGCAGATCTCTGCAGCCTCGGCCATGTGCCTAGAGAGATTTTCAGTGCCTTAGCTTCCAGTAGCCTGATTTCTCACCAAAGTCAGGGGTAAAATTCCCAGGTGCTTGCATGAAGGCTCCCGGCAGCGAGGGCTGCCCGTGCCCAGAGCTGGGATCCCGCTCCGGGCAGTGACGGAGAGCCGCAGACCGGACTCTTCCCCACTGCACGCAGTCATCAGTGTCAGCCCGTGTCGCCGGCTGCGGCCTGAGCCCATCGCCTCTCTCCCTACCCCCCGTGGACACAGATGAGGAATTAATTCCTTCCTCTCCATAGCAGCCTTTTACACGCTTGATAGCGTTTGTCGCATCCCGAGTAAGCTCGCCTGCTGCTGCAGCGTAGCCAGCCCTCTGCCTGCCTCCTTCCCCCCGTACAGCCCAGCGAGGCTTCGCAGCCCGCAGCGGAAGAGTTAAAAAGAAAAAATTAAATAAGAAAACTGAAATTGTTGGTGATTATGAATTTTGGCAAGCAGAAAAAAATTTGCAAATTCTTTAGTGTCATGAGGGTGCTTAAAATAAAAGAGCTGTAATGAGACGAGATCCTGTAGCATGTGCGAGCTGAATTGGGCTAGATTGGTTATTCTCATTCTGCATATGATTGCTGATGGCTTCTGCACGGCGAAGGACGGGGGTTTGGAGTGATTTTCTTTCTGTTTAGTCTCTCTTCTCCCTCGCACCCTCCCCCTTCTTCCCAGTGGTACAAAGGGTGCCCGGGACCCTGTCCCCTGCTGCAGAAAGGCTGTTGGCAACAGATGTGCCTTGATGACAGGGTGCGGGCGCATCGCCTCGCGTCTGCCGTGAGGGGCTTGGCTCATTCCGAACATCACCCCCGGATTTACCTCGTCGGATGAATCTGAAGCGACGGCTCGGGGACAGACCCCTCTTGTTTCCCATCACGCAGCCCCAAACCCTTGCTGGACTGAGTGGGTGCTGATTGCGGAAACCAATAGTGGGTGCGAAGTTGTAATAATCCCATTTTATTAATTACTGGTTTTGCCAAGGAGGACTTGTGTTCCCAATTGTCCACAATGGAATGAATGTTTTCAGCCTCTCCTCTGTTTTCTCTGGTTCTCAAACCACCTTCTCTGCCCACAAAGAAGAGGATCAGGGCATCGGCAACTCTGGGCAGAGGCGGCCAGGCCAGGGACGATGGGCAGAGGCGTTTGTCTCCCCAAGCCAACGTCCCCGCTCGGAGCTCGCTGCGTTGCCACGAGGCATTGGGCTGGATCAGCAGCTGCCTGCTGAATTCACAGCTCGCCGCGCAGGATGGATGCCCATCACCCGGGGTGGGCGTGATGCCGCCTGGCGCGGGCAGGGCTGTGCTTGCAGAGCGACGGGGGCCGTAGCTCCAGACGCTCGGTTTGGGGAGGAATCTGCTCCTGGTTCAGATGAGGAGGTGGTCGGTGGCCTCCTGGCACGCTGGTGCTGGTTCCATCAATCCGGCGTGGGACTTTGCACCATCCCTGCCAGTTCTTGTGCACACTTGCTGCTGTTTCAAAGAAGTCATCCTCAGCTTTGCCGCTCCCCCATTTTCCCTGGTTTTCTCACCCAGGGAGTGTCTCGGCAAATGTTAAGGCTGGCCAAGATCCCAAACAGTAGGTGTCTAGCAAAAAATCAAAACAAACAGGGGAAAAAAATAAAAATAAAAATCCCCAGACCCACAGGGCCAAGTTCAGTGGAAGCACAGCTGCTCGCCCCAGCACGGCGCTGGCTCCAGGCTGTCCGGCTGCCCGCGTGATGGTGCCCGCCGGGAGGGAGGGAGCGGGGCACGGCAGGGCGGACGCTCCTGCCCGAGCCGGAGGCACCGATCTGGAGTCTGAGGCAGGCAGGGAGGGGAGGAAACACCAGCTGAATTTCTTGGAAGCCAAGCTCGTGCGACGTTTCTGGCGTTGCTGAGCGGCAGCTGATGCTGGGCTGGGATCTGACCTTTCAGCAACGCACGCAAACGGCAGTAAACACCCTCTCTTGGCCGGCGCTGTGCTCCTGATGGTGTTTCTCGATGTTCCCTTCCCCAGGTGGGGTTGTGGCTTCTCAGTGTCCCAAAGAAGACAGCAGGAGCTCGGGAGCTTCGCATGAGACCACGGGAACCAAGCGGACCTACGATATGATGGAGGGGAGGATCAGCCGGGGCTTATCAGCCCGCGATACCTTATCTGCCAGCATTGAAGGTGGGTCTGGGTGAACCCTTTCACCCATGCTGTGTTAGTAGTGACCCCCAGAGACCTCATCTTGTCTAATGTCCGCGTGATGCGGTGCCATGCCACATCCCATGGCTGTGTTTTGGCAGTGGTTAGCTGGCACCCTGCAGCACATGCCGACAGGACAGCAGCTGACCAGCATGGGAAAGCAAGGGGCACAGGCTGGCCCATTTGCCTTTGGTTTCTGTCCTGGTAGACCAGTTTCAGGACTACAAAAAAAGGAAGCATGTTTTAAAAGAAGAGAAACCCAAACAATTTAGAAATTGTTGGTGTTTCTCCTTGCTGTCCCAGGAGACCCTGGTAACACTGTCATCATGTATTCGTTGTAAATGGTAAATGAACTCCTGTGTCATGACCTGGCTTTTCCCTTTGGATCTGTTCTAGGTCTCATGGGTCGAGCGATCCCGACCGACCGACACAGTCCCCATAACCTAAAGGAGCAGCATCACATGCGGGGCTCAATTACACAAGGTAAAGCCTGCAAGCAGAAGATGGCCACGGCCAGAGGTGACCTGAGGAAGTATCTCACATGCGTAGCCCCTTGTTCCTGTCCGGCTAGGGCAGGAGGAGGCAAGGATGAACACGTCAAGGTGCAGCTGCAGATCTCTGCAGCCTCGGCCATGTGCCTAGAGAGATTTTCAGTCTTGCTCAGCTTCCAGTAGCCTGATTTCTCACCAAAGTCAGGGGTAGAATTCCCAGTTACCTGCATGAAGGCAGGTTGAAACTAGAGCGAGATGAGTCCAAAAACCAGTGGTAGATGTGAGGGTGTCCAGCTGCATTAGTGATGTAGTTGTTTTGTGTGCTCAGCTGGGTACCAGTTCCCGAGTTACATGCATTAACTGGAGACCCCCTTGGACTGAGCATCCCCACAGGGACTGGCAGTCCAGTGTCTGGCTGGGGAATCACCCTCTGCATCCATTGTCTGCTTGGGGTTGCAGGAATACCTCGGTCCTATGTGGAGGCCCATGAGGACTACCTCAGAAGAGAAGCCAAGCAGCTCAAGAGGGAAAACACTCCACCGAGGGACTTATCTGATGCCTACAAGGTCAGGTCTCACGAGGGCCTTACTCCCCTGAAAATGAAACCAGCCCACGAAGGCCTGGTGGCCACGGTGAAAGAAGCGGGACGATCAATCCATGAGATTCCCCGGGAGGAGCTGAGGCGGACACCAGACATCTCTCTGACGAGACCTCTGAAGGAAGGCTCCATCACACAGGTGAGCATGGGGCGAACAGTGGGTAAAATCGGTCCTACTCAAGCTGCTGTCCTTGCAGACACTGGGGACCATTCCCAAGGTAAAAGGAGGGCAGAGGGGGCTTTGGGTTTCAAACACATCACTGCAGAGACTTTCAACTTTGCTTGGGTACAGGTTGCCCTTCCCCATCATTTGATCTTTAAAGATCTCTTCCAACCCCAACCATTCTATGATCCTTCCTAGCAGATAAATGCATGGCCCAGGGAAGGGAGCTCGGCAACCCCTGGCGCATTAAGAAGGCGATGCTCCATCCACACGCACACACGGAAAGGGACACATTCGGCTCTTGTTCAAGGCCAGGGTCAACTCAGTGCCCTTGGCAGCTGGGACTCTGGGTACGCATAATCTCTGTCTCCTCCCTTTATGGGCAAGTGTCAACCCAGCAAGGCCAGCAGTTAGGATGAACCGTGGCGTGCTCTCTCCTGTTGGGCTCCAAATATTTGGAGGGTTCCCATGGCATCTCGGAGTCCTACCTCATTTCACAGCGTGTGTAGGAGAGAGGCGTGATGGGCACAGCCTTCGGCAGTGACTCATCGTCGTCTTGTTGGAGCACAACAAGACATGCAAGATGGGCACCCCGCCCTGCCCCGCGGCCTGTGGAGCCATGATCTTTGCTTTGCCGAGGGCTGGTGCCGTTTGACCAAGTAAACTGGTGCACTGACCCACTGACCGAGGAAGCACGAGTCCTGTTGAAATTTGGTCACTGCATCCCCTTCTGCTCCACGTCACTTTGATGTCCCCTTTGCCTTTTGTTCCCAGGGTACACCGCTGAAGTATGACAGCGGCTCTTCCTCCTCCAGTAGCAAAAAGCACGACGTGCGGTCCATCATCGGCAGTCCCGGCAGGACTTTTCACTCTGTGCACTCGCTGGACGTCATCCAAGATCCGAGGAATCTAGAGAGAGCTTACGAAGAGAGCCTGAAAAACAGGCCAAGCCCGGTGACAAACTCGGGTGGCTCCATCGCCAGAGGGGCTCCTGTGATTGTACCCGAGCCGGGCAAGCCCCACCAAAGTGCCCTCGCCTACGAGGACCGCACAGAGGGTCTCCGGTCTCCACGCGGGAATCCACGCCGCGGCAGCATGAAGGTACTTGGCGAACCTTTTATTTGATGCTAAGATTTCCCGAAGGCCGAGCAGAGAAGGTTGCAGAGCCCACTTGGCCGAGCTGTTCCCAGCAGTCACCCAGTGCCCCCAGCACCCTGTGCCCACCCTTGCCCGCAGCTGGCTCGTGACACTGGGGCAGCTGCCGGGGATGGCTGGGACTCGGCTCCCATCCTTGGGGGGGCTCATGCGGTTGCAGCAAAGGCACCCCACGTCTGCACCAGGGTGACCGAAGGGAGACTTGGACTGTGGCTGGTGAAGCTGATGGAGCTTAGAAAGCGTCTTCCCTGTCCTGGCGTTGGCCCTGGGCACCCATGTTTCTAAAGGCAGGCAGGAAGGCGGTGCTGGGTGCACTGGGTGGGGGATCTTCAGGCTTTTCACCGATCTGGTGTGTGTTTGCCTGTCTATCTCGTGTGTTTATACCTCATCCATCACCTGGGCACCCGAGTGCCTCACCTCCAGGAACATCTAATCCCTTCTGTTCTGGTGGATCCGGGCAGTGCGGCTGGTCTTTGATATCTGCCATCATGCCGGCCTGTCTGCCTGCACCAGGCAGGGTCTGCCTGTGCCCCCCGGCATCAGTCATCTCCTGCCCCCAGAACCAGACCTGGGGGTCCCGGGGAGCAGGCGCTTGTCTGAGCTGGGCTCAGTGATCTGGTGAGACACGCTCAGATCCAGAGCACAAAACCTCTCTTTCTTCACGGCACATTTGTGGGCAGGATCAGTGCGGAAGCCAGTCTCTAAGACACCTTGTCCCACCAAGCCTGCTAGCTGTGGGCAACTGCTTCAGGGCCGTTTGCATCTCCTGCCTGCAAATCCTTGTCCTAACCCCAGAGTCTCGTGACCTGGGGGGTGTGCAGCATGAGACACCGCAGTCTGCCAGAAACCGAGGCCGGGATGTGACTCCCCGGCAAGGAGCGGGAGATCACCGAATCACACAGAATCCCAGCATGGTAGGGGTTGGGAGGGACCTCTGTGGGTCACCCAGTCCAACCCCCTGCCGAAGCAGGGTCACCCAGAGCAGGCTGCACAGCACCGCGTCCAGACGGGTCTGGAATATCTCCAGGGAAGGAGACTCAACAGCCTCCCTGGGCAGCCTGGGCCAGGGCTCCGGCACCCTCAGAGGGAAGAAGTTCTTCCTCATGTTCAGACGGAACTTCCTGTGGGAAGATGGGGCTGTGCAGCACAGAGCTCTTCCAGAAAGCCTCCCCCATCACTTGCTGCCGGCTGGGCCAGCTCCATGTCTCCGTGGTTGGTGTGTGCCATTGCCACAGCCTCTGCTGTCTGCCCGGTTAGGTCAATCATTCTGGGGGAAGCCTTCTGATGTTGGCAGCTCTTTGAGATTGGCACCTACAATGAGCACAAGGCAGGGCAGGCAGCGCCCGAGTGGTGGGGGGGGATCCCAAGGGAAAAACCAATGTTCCTACAAAAAGCCAGTGGGAAAGTGGATTTCTCAGATCCAGAGATCACAGGGTTTTGGGGTCAGAGGATCTCCGGGAGGAGTCCCCGTGGCACGGGTCGGAGCTGGAAGGCCCGAGTCGCCTGAATGCTCATCCCAATGGGGCGAGAAGCACCACCAGTGCCCAGCTCAGGTTGGGAGAGCCGATAGAAGTCCCTGACATGATCCAACCTCCCCTCCACGTGCTGGGAAAGAGCTTACAGCTCCAGAGGGTGGTGGGTGCTCAGACCCTCTGAACTGTTTTTCGTCACCATTGCCAGGACTTTGGGGGTCCCCAGCTCTGCCCGGCAGCGGTGAGCGCCTCGTGCCGAGGAGCGCGGCAGCAAGGCTCCGCTGCCGGCTGCTTGTGTGGGCCGGGATGAACTCGCAGACGGCCCAGCGTGGATGCTCTGGGGTGGAGGGATGGTCTGGGACAGGCTCTCCTCCTGGGTGCCACTGGGGCTTGACCCGCCTCGGCCTTGGTGGCGTAACGGGGCATGGTGGTGCAGGGAGGTGGGAAGGGTCCCTTCGAGTTCAGAGGGAGCAGCGGGCGTCCCTGAGGGACACGCTTGGCCCCAGGCACCCCTCAGGGACGCAGCTTGGCCATGGCTCATCTGTCTCTGACTCATTTCCTTCTGCTCACTGCAGGGAGCATCACTGCCGGGAAGCCGGTGTCCCAGGACAGAAAGATCACCCCCACGTCCAGAGAGCTCACCAATTCCAAGTCTCCGCATGCCCCCGTGGCCGACCACCACCACCCCATCTCCCCATACGAGCACCTCCTCCGTGGTGTGAGCGGGGTCGATCTGTACCGAGGACACATCCCGCTGGCTTTCGACCCCGCTGCCATCCCGAGAGGAATCCAGCTGGAAGCAGGTACCTCCGGCGGGGGCACGGTCTGTTTGGGATTGTTTTTTTCCTTGTTATGCTCCAAAAGTCTGAAGTCTCTAGGGAAAGCCACTTCACGTCTGCATCCTTTTCTCTCCCAGCTGCTGCTTACTACCTGCCGAGGCATCTGGCTCCGAGCCCCACGTACCCCCACCTGTACCCCCCGTACCTCATCCGCGGCGACC